GATGCAAGAAATAACCTAACAGCATCAGTGATAACCAAATGAGGGACTTTCTGAAATTCCCAAGCGCTACCGACCTCGATCTTCAGCCAATTTTGATTAATTCCATAGGATATCAGTAAACTACTCAGTGTTCTGAACATGGCAAATGCTGCAGAGCTTGTCAACATAGTATTGAAGCATTTCTGTAGATTTTGTGCTCCAGAGCTAGCTGTGTCCCTTAGCTAAGATGATCCATGATGCCCATCTGAAGCTCATCTTTTAATAGGATTGGTGAACCCATCACCAGAATGATATCTAACCATACAGAGCAAGGCAAGGCCAGGTTCATTCTGGGATCTTGTTGAGTTAGATGGAGTGGTTAGTGTGTTGAGCATTCTCTATCCAGAGTGAGCAAAGTTCAGCACATCCTTGTGTTTTTTTATTTCAATGATAGAGTTATAGTTGGCACTCATTGCCTGCTGAACAATATCCAGTATGATTCAACACCTTCAAAAGCTTAGAGAAAAACACACGAGAAATTGCATACAACCTTTCCAACATTTGTACATAGTTGACTATTAATTTCAAAATGCAAAAATCAATTTTATTTGAGAGTTTATAAATGGAATTATTGCTTTTCAGTAACCAGCATGAAGGTAGAAAGATTGTTGTTATCAAAATTCTATTGCATCACAGTCAGAAGTTTGGTTTAACAATTTGATTTGCTGGTTTAAATTTCAGTGACCTTGGTTAAAGTTAACAATATTGATTTTACCGGCATAACTTACTGACGACGGTGACAAGATCTGAGTCTGGAGAAAATATCTGTACATAGGAAGCATCAAATTTCCTTTCAAAGTGCTTTAGACAATGAATTTCCTAGCGGGTTAACATGTTGCAGATCATAGTGATGGGCATTTATCTATGGAGGAAATCTGAGCTACTTTAAATTTAATTGGATTGATCATTCAGGGTTCAGTTTCTTGTACAATGGCAGAATTCTCCATTATAAGGAATTTGAATGCATACCACTTAAAAAGAAACTTGGACTGGAACCAAATTTCCTTGGTAGCGTACAATTGATTGAAAGGTGCTTTATTTTTAACTTGAGCAATTGATTTTTGGATGAGTTCAATAGGTTTGAGTAACTGAATATGTAACTGTTTCCTTCCAAAGTTCAGTATTTGGAGCTGTTAATAATCACAGAAAACTGAAAGAAACAGTCAATTCAAATCTTTAGATTTAAGGTGAGAGACCTCCTCCATTAGTTAATTGCATGAAGTTACTACTGTGTCCTTAACAGTTGGATCTATAACTTCACTATAAATATTAAAGGCAACCTCCATCCTCCTACATCCCTTCCTTTTTTAATGAGCAGTAGCACTGGCAGTAATCTTATTGGAGCTTGTATTATGGATGTCTTAGTTATAGGCATGATAGATGTGGGTAAGAGCAGCAGACAAAATGCAACAGATTGATTAAAAATTCTCTCCCCATAGTAGTCATGATTCCTTTATCTCTCTGGGGAATATTAGCTTCCTAGACAATATGATTGTTCTACAATGCCATTGGTGGCTCTGAATATATCCACCATGCCTTTGATCCTCATTTATTGCTTTTTTGCACAATTGAAGTGCATTTTATCTGAGTGGATCATTACAGTCATAAGTGGCTGTGCTTTTCTTTAATAATATATGATCAGTTTGGATCTCAGCCAGTTGAGATCTTTCTCTTGTGTTTGCAAAGAATGTTCCAGATTTGGTCAGAAGAATCATGACAAACAATTCAAAAATGTATATGCATTGTACCTCAGGTAAAAACATGATTTCTAGGCCTTTATTGCTATTTGAATTCTGCTGCCTATGAGCAACATTTCTGTCTAATATTTTTAATGAACATATATACTAGAGGATCATGAAACAGATCCGACTCAAGGGAGCTTTTAAATTTGGTTTATATGGACAGAACAACATTATCTTAAATTCTTGTAAAGCTAAAATATGGGGAGAGTATTGATACCATCTTCGAGTCTTATCTGTCAGTTCATTCCCTTTTAACTCCTACTAGTCTCTGTGGGCACGTAATGTTCTGTGACAAATGGTTTCAGTATTGGATACGTCCAATTAATCACCTGCAGAGCTCCCTGATGTCAAAGGTCATTCTCAGGTCTATTTCCCACCAGCTTGAATACTGGTAGACTACGATTTGCTTTTTCCACATCTGCCTTTCAGCCATCTCATCAGGTTTCAACTAATCAATTATATCCTTAACACAGTGAAATCAAAACGTTGCGTTTAGCCACGGCTCTGAACCCACCACTGGTGCATGATGTATTTCCTGATATCCAATTGCAGTCACTATTTTCACTTTACTCTTTGTTCTCTGAGATTTGCTTCTGATATGCCCAACAGAGAAAACCATGAGTATTTTTAATACCTCTTTTCATAAATGCTTGTAGGATATGAAGACCCCTACCTTACCACTTCATTACTAGAGATGTCGCACAACCTTTTCAGAATTGCCAAGGCAGTTCAGTGGTAAAATGATAATGGATAGGATTTGAGATGGTGATGTATATAATGATGTAACAGTGACATCAACAACGTAAGACTATAAAATGTAGGAGCAGAAGTAAGTTTTCAGCCCATTGAATCAGCCCTGCCATTCAATCATGGCTGATGTGATAATCTTCAACTCCACTTTCAAGCCTTATCCCATAATCTTTGATTCCCTTATTGGTTAGAAATATGTCTATCTCAGCCTGTCAACAGCAGGCATGTTGCAATGAAAGGATGGAATATCTTGTAATAGTGAGAGATATACTTACAGAGAACAGTATTATGTAAAGTAGTGTAAATAAAAGAATTAGCAGAAAGCTACTGGAATCAGATAGCAGTCATTGACAGGTAAAGGGAAACAATTATGCGTCACAAAGTACCAGCAGAGACAGGGATACCATCTCTCCAATGGGCAGAATGGAACCTGAGCCACAAATCTCACGGTAACATGAATCAGCAGTGACCTCTAATATTACTTACAGTAGTTATAAAGGGTAGTAACTGAGGATACTAGGAGATAATTCAGACCTATGACGAATTGTGTGAAAGTGTATCTTTAATTTTTCTGCACAGATTATATAAAAAAACTATGCTGCCAATCTGAAATAAATTGTAAAAATACTAGAAACCTGCAACAGATCAGTCAGCAACTAAAAAGGGAAAAGAGAGTGGGATTCTTTGTTTTTATCACACTGCAAAAAAGCATATTTGCCATTCAATTTAAAAGTTAAATTACTCTTTTACTAAATTGGGAAGTACAACTTTTGTAGAAGTGAGACGCAACAGTAGGAATATCTGTGCTTGAGTGAAGAAAGACAAAAAAAGACCATATCTCCAGCACAGCCTATTACCACACACTGATTAACTTCCCAGCCCTGATGTCTCTCTCTCTCTCTGCACGGCCTTGAGGTGGATGGACCATGCAATCATTAATACTTTAAAACAGACATAAGCGATCAACAATGTACAAGCTTCGATATCCATATGTCAGTAATCCACCTTCTGCATTACCTTAATTCTAGGTGATGATTCAGCTGTGAATGTGAATTTTTATCCTCTTAATTTACAGCTGATTTAAATCAAAGTATTGAAATGAATCACTGCAATTATTGTTGTTGGTAAAAGAATCACCAGGGATGCAGACTGTTCAACTGGTAAATCTTGCTGCATTTTTGGCTTCTTCTAGCATTGCTGTCTTCTGTATGTTGAAACTACAGTTGTAAACCGTTTGCCAGAACAGTTTACAGGAGTGCATATGTTTACGGTATCCAAATAACAGTGACATTTCAGTTAAACACAATCTACTGAACATACTTTTCAAGATATACTAATGTCAAAACATAATCATTCTGAATATCACATGGTGTCAGTCTGGAACATACTATATAATTGATGGTGTTGATCTGTGCAAAATGTCTTCATGTGTTGTAATGGTTGGCATGTTTTAAAAACTGTAATCTCCTCAGAGAACGAAGTGGATGGGCGGGTTTGGGGAAGGAAAATGAAGCTGGGAGGGTGTGCAGTGGGGTGCAGGATTACTCCATTGCAGTGGAATATATTTTTATTGTGATCAAACAGAGTGAGATATAATGGGAAACATTTCTCCCACTGTTGCAAGTGGAGAAAAGGCTGAGTCAGGTTTACTGAAGATGAAATATATACTGCATTCTTTCAGGAATTGACAGGGGACCTGACAAGCCGTCCAAGCTTTCTTCATGCTTTAAAACTAGGATCCCTTGTCATTTACACTGGAATGTGGGAAGAATATAATTTCCTTCCAGTATGGAATCAGTTAGGGAAATAAAGACTTTATACTTAGATATCATAAAAGGAAAGTAATAAAATCACAATTATTGCTTTGAAGTCTATTACACTACTAAAAGCTAAAACAAACATTTTCAATTCTTCATCAGGCACTTAATTTTATTTTTACATTCAGTACATGTAAGAACTATATTTCTGTAGTTATGTGAAGCATAATGTGACTGTTTGACAATTGGCTGTTATAAGACTGTTTTCAACCGCAGTCTTATTTTCATATCCAGCTGGCAAATGTATTTTGGTGACTTTATTTAAACAAAATTACTTAGAAATTACATTTTGAAAACAAAACTCACTGTATGCTGGCAGGCCTCCCAATTGTGACATTTCCAATAAAATGTTGAAAAGTAATCTTCTGGCAATGATAAATGCTGTGCTGAATGATTTATCCAGCTTGTCAGACATGAATGATGTGCACCTGGAAAGGCTATACCTTGAGTGAAAAATATCCTGTGATTTCACAACTGTGAAGACCCCTCACTTGTACTTTTAAACTGACCATCATTAGCAGTTCTGAGGAGCTTTAAACATAAATGCAATTATGGTTTACTTTTAACGCTTAATCTGTCCATTTCTGCTTAACACTTACACTATGAATACATCATCTCTTTTATGATGGGTATGTATTTTTCTTATTTGTAGGATTTATGCGGTGCACAGACTTGTGACACGTTAGGAATGGCGGACGTCGGAACAATGTGTGACCCAAAGCGAAGCTGTTCCGTCATTGAAGACGATGGACTCCCATCAGCCTTTACCACTGCTCACGAACTAGGTATAAACTACATTTAGATATAGCAATATGTACTGTGCCTTTCTGTATTTTCTCCCTACTTTTGCTTTATTTGTTAGCATATTGCACAATGTACTACAATATCAGTCATCATGCTGATATTCTGCCCAGGTTAAATATCACCAAGCATGTTTTGTAAATGTCATGAAAACATTCTGATACACTTTATTGAACACAAACTTCATCCAATTCTTACAATCAGGCATAATAATTCTAAGGAGAAAATGGATCCAAGTTTAAGAAACAGAGTGAAGTGACTGATGTGTGCATGATATTTGTTGCAATCAAGAAAATAAACAAAAGGGAGAATTGATAATCCAGAGACATTGTTGTTTAACAGCTATTTGTCCTTGGACATTACAATAAATTGTCATGAGACTTTTGCTAATTAGTCAGTGAACTGTCCAGATCTGGTGAATGCACTCAGTCACTGCCAGGCACCAGTTGGCATTACATCTTTAAGTTCCTGGAAAGATGCCAGAAAGCATCTTTATTGCAGCTGTGCTGTATGACTGGAATCTGTTACAAACGATAGCAAAATGACCATGTTGAGGTATCATGCTGAATAGGCTTAATTCAGAAGAAGCTGGCATCTGCACAAACCATTTGGATAGCTATATTGATAACTTTTGTGGGAGGATTCCAACAGCTGATTATCTACTCGTTTGGCATTAAAAGGTGATCATTGAAAATTATTGATCACACAGTTGGGAAATACATGGACCTAACATAGTTCAGTGAAGAGCAGTCTGTAATTGAATTAGTTCCATTAAGTGAGGCTGTGTCTTTTGATAGAAAACTGGTTAAATGAATTAGATTATCCTAAATGATCCCGAGTAACTGACAGGCTTCATGCAACTGCATTTTAATTGAAAATTTCTTTGTCATTGCTTTTAGGCCATGTGTTTAATATGCCACATGACAACGTCAAGGCATGTGAAAATGTGTTTGGGAAGTTGAAGGACAATCACATGATGTCACCAACACTCATACACATTGACCGCTCTAAACCGTGGTCAGTGTGCAGTGCAGCAATCATCACAGACTTCTTGGATAGTGGACATGGTAAGCAGGAATTTATTACTGCAAGGCAAAGGTAGTGTGAATTTTAAAAAAAATTGTATAAATAATCCACTTTCTATTCTCACCAGAATTTCATGAAGTACAGTGTAGTTAAATTGTTAAGTTGTTTTTCATGGGCTGAGCCATTGTACTTGCAAAGTTGCCGAAGATGTCTTCCACAACAAGACAATAGGCTCACTGGAGAGACGCAAAAACAAAAACTGAACACAGTGTATTTTAATCACACCACATGCTCATTGAGTGGAAATTTAATGTATGAGGTGAGCTGTTGAACTTGTATTGGGTTAGGAGCAGTGTTTAAAAATGATCTGAGATAGGTGACCCTTTGTTAACGCTTATTTTAAATGGGTTACTACCTCAAGACAGCAGAATCGCTGATAAATTTGTGTTAATCAATACATTTGTAAATAACCAATTGCATTCTACAGGAGGCCTGTTAATGAAAGGTCCGTTGCATAACGGAATTCCATGGGAGGGAAAAACAATGTTCTGTATGAAATGTTATGTCCCTCACTGCTGTAATCTTAATTATTTCTTTTTGACTATAATTGCTTCTATTCAAAGTAATAATGCACATGTTATCAATTTCAAACGAAAAATACCATTTGATAATGTTTTGTCTTTAGTTCATTGGCTGGAAATTTCTCACAGAATTACAATTATTTCATACACTTTCTATGACTGTATTGTGCAGATAAACCACCAGACAAATATGTTAATTTAGTACAATAAGGTTGGAATGAATCAAAAGGTACCATATCCATTCATGCAGTCATAGAATCATAGAGCACAGAAACAAACCCTTCATTCCAAATCGTCCATGTTGACCAAGTTTCTAAACTAAACTAGTCCTACTTGTCTGCATTTGGCCTGTCTTCCTCCAAACCTTTCCTATTCATGTACTTATCCAAATGTCTTTTAAATGTTGTAACTATAACTGTATCTACCACTTCCTGTGGCAGTTCATTCCACATGCGAACAACCCTCTGTGAAAAAGTTGCTCCTCAGGTCCCTTCTTTCTCTTCTCACCTTAAAACAGAGGCTTCCGTCCAACTAGTCCACGCCGACCATGCTCCCAAACCGAACCAGTCCCACTCGCCTGTGCCCAGTCCACATCCCTCCAAACCTTCCCCACTTGTGTACCTATCCAAATGTCTTTCAAATGCTGCAACCATACCTGCATCCACTACCGCCTCTGGCAGCCCAACCCACACATGAACCACCCTAAGCGGTAAAAAAAACTTTGGACTTTAGGTTAACATATGATCTGGAAAGATCAAAAATAATTTCTCTATCTTTGGCAATTGTAAAAGACCCTACAAAAAGAAAACTAATCCGGGGAGACTTCACTAAAGGCTCAGAACTGTTCACAATTTGATATTACTTTGGCATTTTCAGTTTTTAATAAGGGCCTGTGTCTTAAACAACTGTCAATCAGTACCCACCTCAACAGGATATGATGCATAAGTTCGTTGACTTATTTGTCAGTTTGAAGCAGCCATGATAGATATCCAAAATGCATAGAGCCTAGTGAACATTATTTGTAGATAAACTTATCTTCGAATAGAGAACACACATTTTATCACACATCTTTCTTTGTGATTGGCCTGTTTATGTCTAAAGAAAAATTTAGTAGAATGATTTTCAGAGACTTAAATGTAATGGGCAAGTTCAGAATATAATCTAAAGAGTGGTATGAAATTGCTGAATCAATGAAATCTTACACGGTTGTCTTTTAAATATGTAGAGAAAGTAAATATTAAAAACTCAGCTTAACAAGACACTTTGGTTTACATTAATTTTGTCAATGAGTTGAGTAAATTTATGAAAACCAGTTTAATCTTAGTTGTGCGAATGTGCAAATTTATTAAGCCCTTGTCCAAAATGCATGAATGCTGTAACTATAGTATCCATAGTTTCTAAAGGGTTGCTCAGGCTCATTTCAAATGCTGCTTGAATATTCATATTTTGTTGGAAGAGCTGAATGTTTGTTTTGATATGTTTGTTTTGGGGAAACATATTTATCTGTAATGTGTCTGTCTTGCAGGTAGAATAAATCCAACCATGTTTTTAGGGAAAGAATCGAACACTGAATTACTGAATTCAGTAATAACTTAAGCATTTGGTTAGCATTTCTTCCATTATTTTGAATGTGTAATGTTGAAATGGAATGCATTTATTGATACAGAAACAAAGACGTATGAGCAAATGTAGAAATAATTTCACATAATTTTGACACCTGACTGGAAAGTTAGGGTGGGAGCGTAATCTTATTTTTAGACCAGAAGACTGTCTGACCAGCAGAATTAGGCCATTCAGCCCATTGAAGCTGCTCTGCCATTCAATCATGGCTGATATGCTTTTCAATCTCATTCTCTTGCCTTCTCCCCATAATCTTTGATTAAATTACTAATCAAGAGCCTGTCTATCTTTGTCTTAAATACACTCAGTGACTTGGCCTTCACAGCCCCCTGCGGCAATGAGTTCAACAGATTCACCACCCTCTGACTGAAGAAAGTCCTCCTCATCTCAATGGGAACCCCCTCATCCTTCTAAACTCCATTGAGTATAGACCCAGAGTCCTCAACTGCTCCTCATATGACAAGCTCTTCATTTCCAGGACCATTCTTGTAAACCTCCTCTGGATCCCCTCTAAAGCGAGCACACTGTTCCCTAGAAAAGGGCCCAAAACTCCGACAATATTCCGAATGTGGACTGACCAGAGCCTCATACAGCCTCAGCAATATATCCACACTCTTTTGTTCCAGCCTTCTCGACATGAACGCGAACATTGCATTTGCCTTTTTAGCTGCCAACAGAACCTGCATGTTAACCTTAAGAAAATCCTGAACTGGGATTCCCAAGTCCCATTGTGCTTCAGCTTCTTGAAGTCTTTCCCCATTTAGAAAATAGTTTATGCCTCAAATCTTCCTACTAAAGTGCATAATCTCACACTTTTCCACATTGTATTCCATCCACCACTTCTTTGCCCACTCCCCTAGCCTGTCCAAAGCCTTCTGCAGCTCCCTACCTCCTCAACATCATACCTTCTGTCCCTCCACCTATCTTTGTGTCATCTGCAAACATAGCAACAACGCCCTCAGTTCCTTCATCCAGATCATCAATGTATAATGTGAATAGTTGTGGTCCCAACTCTGACTCCTGTGGAACTCTACTAGTAACTGGCTGCCATCCTGAAAAAGACCCCTTTTCTCCCACTCTGCCTTTTGCGAGTCAGCCAATCCTCTATCTTAATTGCTTTTAACTCTTGTTTAAGAAATAGGTTGTAGAGTATTTGTGGGAGCACAGATAAAGAAATCCTTGTAGTTGAAAATAAGGGAAACAAAGAAAACTGTGTGAACAGGATTACTCACCATTTCATGCTCATCAGGGCAATGATGACTGGTGGAATGATAAGTGACAAACACAAACTGATCAGACATCAATGTAGTAAAAGCTGTAAGGTAACAACTGATGATCTGTGGTATGGAGCAACAGCAGTTAACTTTTTTGTTGCATTTAATCTTTTTTTCCTGAATCAGCCTGTTCAGAGATGTTATCGCACACCTCTGGAGCAGGTGGGACTTGAACCCAGGTCACTTAGTCTAGGGGTAGGGAACACTACCACTGTGCCACAAGAGCCCCTAGTAACAACAGTTATTATTGTGTGCCTGACAATAATCACATGAAACAATATTGTTAATCCTGTTATTTCTCATGAAATATTTGCTGAGTTAATAGTTTTAGGACAGAATGAGCCAGACAGAGTTCAGTGGTTCTGTTCAGGCTGCTTTACACGGGCAGCTGTCTAATTTCAAAATCTAAAAGGCCAACTAGTTTAAAACATTAATTGATTTGAGATCCCACATGGTGCAATTGCTCAATTGTAAGGATTAGTGCAGCTGTGCTCTTTGGATCAGAAAACAGGATCTTTAATAAAATAATGGTCCACAAAGCAAAACTTTTACTGAAATCAAACATTGACAAGCTTTACTTTAATTAAAATTAAAGGGAAAATTAGACATAATCTAACAGAGACTGTTTTGGAAAAAAAAACACTATTCTGAAGAAGGGAAACTTTTGAATATAATTGATGCATTTTTGTGTTGGATCAGTGAGAGTTGTAGGCTTTCCCTACATTGTCTTAACAATGGATATCATTGTCGTAGACTCATTTGGAATATAATTTTATTTTCATTTGTATGCCAAATACTTATAAAAATTGTGAGAACAGCTTCATCCAAAGTGTTGTGCACTTTGGTAAATGCACACATCAAGAACTTGGAGTGGGTTTGTAGATTTGTCAAAATTATGCCAGGGATATGAGGAAAACACAAAGGAAACTAGAAAACACAAGAGCTAGCAGTACATGACCCATTAAGCCCTCTGCATCATTCAATACAATCCCACTGATATTGGGCCTCAATTTGGAAGGTTAAGGAAGGATTTAACAGAAATGTTCAAATTTGTGAAGTGCTTCAATAGAATAGCTAAGCAGAAACTGTTTAGGTGGGTTGGTAACCAGGGAACACTGTTTTAGAATAATTAACAAGAGAACCCAAAGGAAGATGGGAAGATTCTGTTTTAACATAATGAGTTATTGTGATCTGGAACATGCTGCCTGGTAGTGAAAAGTAACTTCTGAAGAGGGTTGGGAATTGGTTAAATACGTGAAAAGAAAAACAAATTGCAGGGCTATGGGGAAAGGGCAGGAGAGTGGAACTAACAGCATAGTTCTTTTAAAGACTTGGCACCGGCAGAGTGAGCTAAGTAACTTCTCTCTGTGCAGTAGGATCCTTTGATCCTTGCATGTATGAAATACCTGTATTCAGATCATTGATTTGGAGTTAATTTTGAATGTTAATTTAAACTTGAGAAATAGCACTGAGAATTTCAAAGCCAGTGAACCATTACATTATGGTTCAGGTTATAGACTTGAGGCAGATGTGTATCATCACATTAGTTGAAGAATGGGTTTGTTAGTAATTCCATTTCACAAACAATTGTATGATTTGGACAAAACTCAAGATACTGTTAACGTTACCAGAGAGGAGAAAAAACTGTGAAGTCTTCAAGGCGAAGATTGTAATAATCATATTGGACTGTAACAGGTTCACTGATTTGATTGTAGCCAGTTGACATGATAACTTATGAACCATTCCATATTTGCAATTGAATAAATTGCTCCCATTCCCTTAAAGCTAACTAAAAGATGTAATTTTGTATTGCACAGTGTACACCATGAAAATGTTGTAACTGATGTTGAATCAGTATTGAGTTTTATTTACGTGAGCAATACATACAGTTTAACTAATTGGCTGATGTACTGGGTCCAGATGTTTCTTAAATAAGTACTGCTTCTTTGACCATTAAGCAGAACATGTTAGAAAACAGACTTGGTTCTCTGTTGTGAAAAATATGCCACATTTGCGGCTAGAACATACTGAGAATTTTCTCCAGTTTCTGGAGGTGGGTTGATGTTGAATTGAACCAGAAAAATAGGAGGGGAGTTTCACCCATCTAGCTCCTTGTGAATTTCCTGTTCTAGAAGAATTTCCTGGGGTGCATTAGGACCGTTGTTGGCTACCACAGAAGTAGACAGCTAATTAGTCTATTTAGGCTTCAACTTAGGGATCATTTTTCAATGGCACTGTCATTTTGATGGAGGCTTCATACCCCAATGGCATAGCTGTTGGCAAGAAAGGCTGCAGTCCTGCCTGTCACTCACACTGATACAGGCTTTGCCGTTTATTCTGTGAATTCTATGCAGGCAACTGAGATGTTCTCACACTCACCTGATGTGCTTTGGCAGTGCCCACCTTGATGCAGTCGAAGATATATGTCGGATCTCAGATTAGGCCTGTGGTTTCCAGACCCCTGCTTGCCATCCTTAATAGTACAGTGAACAGATAGCTGAGCATTGAAGAGGCAGCAGGTTGCACTGTCAACGTGAGACCACCAGAAGATCCAGCCCTCTGAGTCATTGCACTGAATACACTGTTTTAGTGAAGCTTCCTGAAGAGAAGACCAAACGTAGCTTTATATTTAAGAATATGTGGCTGTGGAATATCAATGGCTTATCTCAATCATCCACAGGTGACTGTCTACTAGATGAGCCAATGAAGCCAATTACATTACCAGATAGTTTACCAGGAGAAAGCTACAACTTGAACCGACAGTGTGAACTGGCATTTGGGGTTAACTCCAAGCCGTGCCCTTACATGCAGCCTTGCCTAAAGCTATGGTGCACTGGGAAGGCACGTGGGCAGCTAGTGTGCCAGACAAGGCACTTCCCATGGGCAGATGGAACGAACTGCGGGGACGGAAAATTCTGTATGAAAGGTGTCTGCGTGGCAACCCATGACGTGACAAAATATAAGGTGAGTTCTCCAAGTAATTCTCATTTTGAAAGAAAGTTATGCATGTGTGTGACTTTTGGTTTTGTGCTTTTGTTCATTTCACATGAAATATTTGTATTTACACATTCTGTGATCTGCTCGTGTTATATTTCCTAGGATCATTTTTCTAATTGCTTGTATAGTTAGTTTACATCTAATATCCATCCAGGGTAAATTTTGAGTGTCTAATCTACGAACAAGAAAATTAGATTAAATCACACACAACTTGGATAAATTATGAAATGCAAATAATCTCAGAACTCTGTGCATAAATTGACTTTATTTTATTACAATGTTTCACTCCACGTACAAAGAACACAACAAGTAGCATGCAGGAAAACATGTCAGAGCAAAATCCATAACAGTTCGTTGGGAAACATGTGTCATTGAGTTCAGATTATTTGTTTCAATTCCCATTTCAGTATTATCCGTCCTTGATACAGTTACATCTGGGTGCAAAGTGTTATTCCATCAAACATAAACAGATTAAAATTACCATTTTAGTTAGTAACTTTATACTTGTGTCCAATTACTATTGATGATCTGGGATCCTTCATCATCAGTCATAATTTTTGAGACGTATAAAAGAGAATGATTTTCACAAGAACCAAAGGCTGAATTTTAGAGCTTTTTGGCTGAGTGTGAGTTGGGTTGGGTTTGTGGAAAGATTCTTGCCTTGAGGTGGAGCAAACTTTCCATCTGAATATGTTCCAAAACCTGACACATTAATTAGCATTTCAAAATGTTTTGTAAGTATCAGGTTCAAATTTGGCCCCACCTTACCACACACCATTTCCCGACCAATTTGCCACTCACTGGGGATCCTGGAATTGAGTGGCATTCCTGGTGCAGGCACCATCTTTAAAGGGCGTTGTGTACCCAGGCAAGCACTGTCAGTCTAGAGTTGCCCTGCCCAGTTCCTAACTTTTGTCTTGGGCATGGCAGATGGAAAAATCAGTGCCCCACTTTGTGGGCATTATCCTGGAGCTTCTGCTGGATGGAGTGGTATTCAGGTGGGATTTCCTGTTTTCCAAAGACCAGCAATGGAAGCCAAGACCTCAGACCACGCCAGCTTGCTCCAGGGTTCGCCCCCCAGATTAAAACATTCTCAAGCCATCTGGAAGACTGCATGGCACTGTAGGAAGAAAGTCAATGTCCTTCTCCATTCCATTGGCATAAGTGCCACCATTTTCTCTCCGATACCTCACACTCCCTCAATCTCTGCCATGGGACTCACCTCCCACCAAGGTTCATATTCCATCACTCTCACTAATGTATACAACATCTTCACCCCTCACTTCCAACCACCTCAACCTACAATAACACTACTCCTGCATGCCCTCTGCAGGGCTTGCTCACTTGCTGGGGAAGCTCCCCACCAGCACCAACAGTAGTAGTTCTGTCACCCATTTTCATCTCCCTTCCTGTTGTGCCTGAAGCAAAACAGCCCACAATAGGACAGAAGGAGTCAAAACAGGTAATGTGCTGTCATTCAGCTCCTCTTCCTTGATCAGCAGGAGACCTTGACTCTGACTGCCCTGAGGAAGGCCTGGACTGATATTGGACATTGCCCTTAATGTACTGTGCCAGGATTTCATGAGTGACTGGACTCAGGCCTGCTTTTAACCAGGCAAGCTTACTGGCGACAGGCCTTTGTGCAATGGCATGGCAAAACAGAATTAATATGAGCCTGGTGCCTCTGGCTGAGGGGATAATGTGGAAAAGCCTTGGAGAAATGCTGTGAGCATCCAGGTAGGGTCAAAGTGAATGAATGTTATGACACTGATTAAAGAGCCTGTAGATGTAGCCTGGTCCAGTCCATGAGCTGGATGCATGGCCCTGACTGCAAAGTGTCTTTGTAGCGCATTACAATGAGAGTTGCCAGTGCAGCCTCAGGTTACATCATTGAAATGCAGAAGTTTCCTGTTAGTGGATCAGGCACATGCTGTGAGGATTCATAGCCCATGATGTGGGGTGCATGTGGCTGGTGCCCATGGTGTGTGCCCATGATGTTGGTGCCTGGTGCCCAGCATGGTAGACCTTCTGGAGCAAATGGTAAGTTGTACTCACCAAGAATCTGCTCTGGTTTCCATGTCAAGTTTTCCAGATTGCTGGTTTGTAGATAAATTTGGTAATATTGCAACTCTGGAAAGCTGGGTTATTAAAAGTGTGTTTCACAAGCAATAATGAGCTTCAATTGGGAGCTCACTCGTGGTTAATGAAAATCTTGCCCCTCCACTTGAGAGAACCAGACAAGATGTGTCAAGATGGTTTTGATGTGAAGATGGACTCAGCAAACACATTCGCTGATTCTACCGCTCATCTCTCAATAACTCACGTTGCCCGGAGCCCGATAAGATTCCACCTCAAATACTTTGCAACCAGTTAAGTACTTTTGAAGTGTAGTCACTGTAATAATGTAGGAAACATGGCATCCAATTTGTGTACAAATGTTGACGAACAGAAGTGTAATAATGACCCGCTAATCTGAATTTTTTTTGATGTTTGTTATGTGATAACTCACCTGGCCTGCTTCAATGTAGTTCAATGTGGGATTTCTTCATCCAGCAGAGAGGGCAAACAGGGACTTATTTTAATGCCTCATCCAAAAAAATAGCGATTCAACAGTGCAGCACTCGTTACTAAACTGGAGTATCAGCCACTTCTCAAGTCATGGAGGTGGACTTGAATCTAAAATTCTTTGATTCACAGACAGGAGTATTATGACTGAAGCACAGGTGACCCATTTGCAGGAAGCTTTCATGTTTAGTCCTAGTGCTAACTTATTCATTTCAAGTAATAGCTACCCTGTTATGAGTTCATAAATAGTAGACACCAATGTAATATAATAAGATAATAATGACAGTTTAAGCACATCAGTGTTATAGTCACTCCACAGAGACCCTTGAACATTAATCTTTAAATTTGTTGATGACATAACGTAAAAAATAATGCTTCCTATTAACATATGTCAGGAGGAAATGCAATTTAATACAGACAAACATTATTTATTTTATCTGACATTATGTTCAATAAAAAAGATATATATTTTCCACGTAATAGGCTATCATTACAACAGTCAAATTAGTTTATCTTTGTCGATATCTTCCAAAATTTACATCTAATATGTTAACAGATTGAAAATGGCAAATGCACCCAGTAAAACCTAAATAATCTTGCAGTAAACACTGTTGTTAAAGTCATTATGTGTGTATATGTGATCGATTTTCCTTTCTCTTGGATATACACAGTCCGTTGCAAATTTAAAGTAAATCTCAGCTTCAGGGTTTGAGTGAAGATTTGTAGCTCGGGTGCTGGTTGTAGATGTTGGTGTGTTCACCGATATGGGAGGTTTGACAGCAGACATTTCATCCCCTTACTAGGTGACATCCTCAGTGCTGTGGAGCCTCCTGTGAAGCGCTGTTGTCGTGTGCCAGTTCAAATTTATATGGCCTGGTTTTTGCTGCTTCCAGTAGGTGCCGGTTCCAGTTGTGCATTGTAGTTGTCGGATATCAGGTCTAATTCAATGTGTTTGTTGATGGAGTCTGCAGATGAATGCCAAACCTCCAAGAATTCCCTGGCTGTCCTCTGTTTGGCTTGTTCAATGATAGTAGTGTTGTCCCAGTTGAAAGTGTGTTTTTTCTTGTCTGTGTGCATTGAAACCAAGGACATCTGGTCATGTCGTTTAGTTGCTAGCTGTTGTTCATAGATGTGGGTTGCTAGTTGTCTGCCTGTTTGTCCCATGCAGTGTTTTGTGCAGTCTCTGCATGGTAACTGTATCCAATCTACTAGATGAACACAACAGGCGACAGGTCGAGGAACAGATCAACAAACACTGCATACTCAAACTACTGGACTTATGCTTAACAACCCACTTTACATTCAACGGCAGGATACATGAGCAGATCAACTGGACTTCCATGGGCTCACCCATCTCCGGACTGATAGCTGAGGCAATAAAGCAAAGACTGGAACAAACAGCCCTCCCACAGATCCAACCCAAACTCTGGATCAGATACATGGACGATATTTTTGTAATTATGAAAAGAACAGAAATTGAGAATACCCACTGGCTCATCAACACCATACTCACAGGGATCAAATTTACAAGAGAGGAGGAAAACAACAATAAATTCCCATTCCTGGACGTGATGGTGGAAAGAAAAGAGAACGGTGACTTCCCTACAAAAGTATACAGGAAATCCACACATACTGACCAGGTCTTAAACTATCACAGCAACCACCCCAACTCACACAAAAGGAGGTGCGTTAGGACCCTGTTCAAAAGGACCGCTACACATTGCAGCACACCCGATCTGCAAAAGGAAGAAGAACACCTCTGCAAGGTCTTTACCAGGAATGGATACCCCCGCAGCTTCATCCACAGATGCCTAACCAAGAGACAACACAACCAGGACACACCAAAACCCGAAACAATAGCCACAATACCAAATATAAAAAAAATCTCAGAACTGACAGCCAGACTATTCAGTCTGCTAGAAATCACAACAGCACGCAAACCGGCAGCAACAGACCAGGGTTAAAGACCCATTAGATACAATGGACAGGAGGAATGTGGTCTACAAGATACCATGCAGAGACTGCACAAAACACTACTTGGGACAAACAGGCAGACAACTAGCAACCCGCATCCATGAACACCAGCTAGCAACTAAACGACTCGACCCGATGTCCTTGGTTTCAATGCACACAGACAAGAAAAAAACACACTTTCAACTGGGACAACACTACTATCATAGGACAAGCCAAGCAGAGGACAGCTAGGGAATTCTTGGAGGTTTGGCATTCATCTGCAGACTCTATCAACAAACACTTTGAATTAGACCCGATATACCGACCATTACAACGCACAGCTGGAACCGGCACCTACTGGAAGCAGCAAAAACCAGACTATATAAATTCGAACAGGCACAAGACAACAGCGCTTCACAGGAGGCTCAACAGCACTGAGGATGTCACCTAGTAAGGGGATGAAATGTCTGCTATCAAACCTCCCATATCGGTGAAAACACCAACATCTAAATCTCAGCTTATATTAACACAAGGGCAGCTTGAAATGAAAAGCATCATGATCATATGTTATTGTATGCAAGTAATTCGTTGAGGTACCTTGGTGTATTAATAGTTACAAATGTGAGATTGTGCCGCATTACTTCCTAAGTGTAGACAAGGCATACAGTCTGTAAAACAACATACTTGTCAAAATGGACTTCTAGGGAATGATAAGGCATTTTGTTTTTTGATGACCAATTGAACTGTTTATTTGTTTTAATAAACTAGATGGCATATGTTTTTAAAGCTTGATGAGTGTTTAGTTGACAACACTTTGAAATAAATGATGAGAAAGTTAAGTAAGCTCCCATTGCAAATAAACTGGAAAATGTATAATATAAACTCACGGTTGCTGGCGTGATTCTGAAACTCTGGGGTCAAAGTCCCTAATGAATAAATAAGTCCCATGATTAACCAATAATTGGCCATGGAAAGCACGCTTCCAAATTGCTGTTCAATATGGAAATATTGCTTTTGACATGTTGCAGTTGGCTGGATGGATGGTCATTATTTCTTGGAATTGGGTCCCTATCAAAGGAAATAAGAATGGTCAGCACTAAGCATCTCATTTCAGTAATATTAGATGTCTATTAATTTAGAATGTATATATATGAAAATAATCAGTAATTGATCACAGCATCACAAACTTTTAGGTATTCACATTTGGCTTTAGGAAGACCAATCAAGTCCGCTTTAAAATGGATAAAAAAATGCGCACACATCTGGGTTTCATTTAAAGTTAATAATTGTGTCAATCTGTATTATTTTGCAATATTGGCATCAGTTATACAATCTGTGGGACTAAAATGAAGGTTTAAAAGAACACTGTTGACCACTCCTTATTCCAGGTCGATGGCAGATGGGGAAAGTGGGGACCTTATGGAACATGTTCACGCACATGTGGAGGCGGTGTGCAGCTTGCCAAGAGGGAATGTAACAAGCCAACCCCTGTCAATGGTGGAAGATATTGTGAGGGAATCCGTGTCAAGTACCGTTCCTGTAATTTGGATCCATGCCCCGACAATGGTAAGACATTTATTAAAGACATATTGTGCTGTTATTTAATCTAACTTCTGATAATTTGAGCTTTTTCATTCAACGTTAGCAGATGATGGTTATTAAGTTGTATGCATTCTGTAGTACTAGGTTTTTGGAAATGTAAGACACTTTTGCTTGGTTTCCCAAAAGTTTTGTTCTTTCTATAGATCAAAGTCAATTTCCCTGTCCATTCTAAATTGACAATGATAATTTTTCAGGTGAAGGATAGTTTAACAGATTAGACAAAAAAAAAGAGTTCTCTCACCATTGTGGCTATATCCCATGTTGTTGGCAGAAATGCTTTAATGACTGGAAAGTCCAAATAGTGCCAACATTAATTTTCAGTTGATGGGAACTAATATTGTGAAGCTGTTCATAATTTAATATCATTTGGCAATCTCACCAGAGAGGCTCCAAGGATAGCAAGGCCTAGAGAAGTTCATACTGGTGAAATGCATGGCACTGCTCTAAAGTCTGAGTACACATGCATGGCCAGAGTTAAGTAGAGAGCTTTCATTTATAACTGACTGATAAGAAGTGCTTGACGCCGATGCAGCTTTAAATGTGAAGTATTTAATGCTTCAGTTATGAAAGAAAATGAAAAGAATAATCTCCAAGAATGCTTAAGGATAAGATCTGTGAAGCCTTGCAACATAGTCTCAATACCCATTTTCATATTAAGCATTAATTAATGCACAATTGTGAACCTATTTAAAGATTATAATTTATTAAAGAGATTTGAGAGATGTAATTAATTTAGTCTTTTTTTCCCATTGCTCTCAGTAACTTACATTATTTCACCAACATTTACTTTATCACTGTTCATAGTTGTCTTTAAGGCTGGTGAATGTTTTGCCACCAGAAATGTTTCTTTTTAGAACATAATTGATAAGCCAAGGCCAAATGCTTAATAACAAAATCTAATCCTTCCATGGGTTAGCTGCAGTGTGTATGCAGAGAAGACTCTCTGGGTAGAGAGGCAAAGAAAATTCATTCATTCAAGTGGTAGTTAGATAAGAAAGGTCATTTAAATGAACTGATGCCTTATTCGTCTGAATTGACATCAATGGACAATGACAGAGTGCCCTCATTTACCTATTTCTAAAATTAACAGTGCTATTTGGGTACTGTTCTGAAAGGTGCCAATGATGAAGCTTTAACAGAGTATGTCTTAAACATGTTTTTAAGGCTCTTTTTTTGTAATCTCAGTCATTGATTTGGCCTATTGTCTGGCAAAAAGGGCGTGACAATTATATTTCAAATCCTTGAGAGATGCTGACATTGTTCTTGTGTATTTGATCTGATGTTCAGATGCTATAGAATGTGATAGGTTTAAATATCTTTCTGCTCACTCCCGATTCAGAAGAATTCAGTTGGACAAGTTGCAATAAATGTTTGTTAACAAGGTAATTCTGATTACAAAGTTGTAAAGTTTATACCCCAGTCACCTTAAAGGTGTGAACTCTAGCTGGATATATATATTATATATATATATATATAATATATATAGTGCAAGCCAATATGGCATTATTCCTGAATACAGAATAGGCTAAAATATTTGGATCAAGTTTGTGGAGTGTTACGGTATAGGACTGTCTGATGTTTTGTGTCCAACTTCCTATAAAGGTAGTGAGATGGTGTTGCCAGATATATTCCCTCTTTGGTCTAATTTGCCAGAAGACAACATGTGACTTTAGGTTTTTTGTGTAAGGGTCTCGTACAGCTGTCAAATCAAGGCAGTTCACAGCAGGTTTATTTTCCTTCAGTGGTTGAAAATAAGTAGGTAGTTTGGAGAACAACTTTTCCTTCATTTGTGTGTATTATTTCGCAGGCACTAAAGGAAACATTTTCACTAATGGGAAATGAATCTATTTGCTGCAGTATGGATCTAGTCTCAAATAAAAAGAGAAAATACGAGAGAAAATCTGTAAATCCAGCAGCATTTGTGAAGAGAGAAACAGAGTTAACATTTTGAGTGTAATATGACTTCTTCAGCATTTACTACTTTTGTATCAGATCCCCAGTATCCATAGTATTTTGCTTCATTTTAGTGAATTCTCAACATTGCTGTGATAAATTAATTATTTTATATTCAATACTAATAACACTACAACTGTCTCTGGGATATCTACATGTCTTCTGTAAAAATAATAGTACAAATAATTTGAGAAAATGCTTTAAATGTGTATGTGTGTGCATTTAGAACATTATTGATAAGCCATGGCCAAACCATCTTTCTTATAAAACTGAAATTGGCTGCATGGAAAAATCAGTTGGAAACAACTGGTTCAAACCCAGTAATTTCCAGTTAGTCATACAATAATAGGTCTGATTTGTTTATTAAATAACAAACATGTATTTGGCAATTATATTTCCTACTAAAATACATCATGCATGTTTTATTTTTACTCTGATTGTTTACATTTAATTGCAACTTCTTGTGACACTAACACTCCACAAACTTGATCCAAATACTTTAGCCTATTCTGTATTCAGGAATAATGCCATATTGGCTTGCACCATATATACATCCAGCTAGAGTTCACACCTTTAAGGTGACCAGGGTATAAACTTTACAACTTTGTAATTAGAATTGCCTTGGTAACAAACCTTTATTGCAACTCATCCTATCGTTACAGGATAAAGGAGTTGGGTTCACATATATAGAAAGTAATGGCCCTGTTCTAGTGCTGACATTGACATGTTGCAGCTATCATTCTAACAATAACGCTGATAGCTATGACTGCCTCAATTCTTGATTGCATTCGATCAGAGTACCATAAGATGTAGGAGCAGAAGTGAGCTATTCATCCCATCAAGTCTGCTCCTCCATTCATGGCTGGTCTGACAATCCTCACCTTCGCTTTCCTGCCTTTTCCTCATAAGCCTTGATCAAAAATCTGTCAATTGATGAGAGGATCAAAGTTGTTCCCTATATTCCACCTGTGATCTAACAAGCGCCGTGTATAGTTTTAGCAAGACTTCCCTATTTTTCTGCCCTATTCCCTTTGAATTAAAGACCAACATTCCACTTACCTTACCTATTACCTGCTGAACTCATGTGCTAGCCCTTTGTGATTTTTACACAAGGACTCCCAAATAGCCCTGTGCTGTAACTTTCCGTAGTCTTAGTCCATTTAATGATATTCAGTTCCGCTTTTGCCAAAGTGCATGATCTCACATATTCCCGCATTATATTGATCTGTGAAGTTTTTGCCAACTTGCTTAATCTATCTGTCCCTCTGCACTTTGTGTCATTTCTCAGTACTTGCCTTCTCACATATTTTTGTGTCATCTAAACTTGGCTATCGTACTTTCGCTTTCCTCATTCAAGACATTAAGGTATTTTGTAAATATTTGTGGCCCTAGCACTAATCACTGTGGGACTGCACTAGTTACAGGTTGCCATCCTGAAAAGTGCCCCTCTTATCTGTTTTCTATTAGCAAGTTTATGCTAATGTACGACACCTAATACCTTAGACTCTTTATTAAGTAGCATAACATTGGATACCTTATCAAATGCTTTCTAGGAATCTAACTAAATTATAACCACAGCTTCACCTTTAACAATCCTGCTTGTGACCTTACAGAATCCTAATAAACTTGTCAGACATAATTTTCCCGTTTTGCAACCATGCTAATTTTGCTTGACTATATTTTGTATTTCTAAACACTGTGCTGTCATGTCATTTATAATAGACCCTAACATTTTCCCAATGACAATTGATAAGCCAACTGACTCTATACTTCTTTCTTTTATCTCCCTCCTTTTTTGGATAAGGTTGTTACATTGGCAGTTTTCAAGGATGCTGGAGTCTCTGTGAGAGCACTTTGAAAATAATGCTAGTGTGTACCTGTGGACTAATGGAAGCATCTGCTTTGCATGCCGCAGCCCTTGTTCTTTCATTCATGATGAAACTTCACAATCTTTCTAAGAATGCAGATCTTCAGTTATAGTCAAATAAAATATGATCACACTACAGTTGTGTTCACTGCTTTCTAACTGTCTATTAACGGTTGTGTTTGTCATGTACTTGAATCACAGGAAAAAGTTTCAGAGAGGAGCAATGTGAATCCTTCAATGGATATAATGTCAATACAAACCGACTCACACCATCTGTTGTTTGGGTTCCCAAATATTCAGGGGTATCACCCAAAGACAAATGTAAACTTGTCTGCAGAGCAAATGGTACTGGATACTTCTATGTTCTTGCACCCAAGGTAAGCAAATGGAATACTTTATGCTACTGTCTGACCTTTGAACTTTTGTTTACCACTGTCTTTCAGCAGCTACTCTTTTACTGACTCAAACTTTTCTTCTACCTTTAATGCTGTAGACTCCAAACAAAACTATTGCTCCGTCTCACCTCTGCCATTCCTCCTGGTATCACCCACATCTCCCTTCCTGAAGTACAGGGATACAGATGTGAAAAGATACTGTTTAGTCATCCACCAGCAGATCTGGCTGAACTACACAAAGTACACCCAAATAAACTATCACCACATTGGATGAGTCTGGAACAATAAGCATTTGTTCTAAGACAGCTGCTAACACAAGATGAATTTAGGAGCAATTGACGAGAATATTGAGAAGATGGAACCTAATGGCATGTAAAGTAGCTGAAACAGAGAACATTGATTCAGTTAAAGTGAGGTTTGATTCATACATGAGGGAGAAGAGAATAAAAGGATTTGGGGCAGGATCAGATGCTGTACTTAGACTGAGAGGAGGATCATGAAGAGTATAAACACATACAGGCCAACTGGATTTGAATACTTTGTTTCTGTGTCAAACTTTTATGTAATTCCATATAACTGCCTCCACCAATTCTACCAGATCTATAAATTGCTCAAAGGAATTCAATAAACTGGTCAGAACAGACCAGCTCTTTCTGTATTCATTCTGGAACAGGAATAGACCCATTCTTCCATTTGATCCCTTCCCAAGAATTTCATTTTCCCCACAGTTGAGGTAACATTCAAAACACCACATCTCCCATTTGTTCAATTTTCTGTGGGCTTCACCTACTTCCTTTAAATTCGCTTATTTTCAGAACCTTGGCTTTAGCTGAAAATGTAGGTGAATGAGTCTAATTCTGCCCTGTGGACCAACTGACAGGAAGTTGTATTTTGGTCAGGAGAGTGAGTTTGTTTTATCCCTGTGGCAAGATGTCTAGCCTAACACTTTGGCTGGGAGTTTACTAACACAACACATATGGCTGGCAAGTAAAGGTAGTAAGAAAAAAGTCTTAGAACTTAATTGATAAACCTTTCCTTACCTTATCATGATGCTATAGATGCCATTTAAGTGATCTGTTTTTAACACCTTATTTTCATTGTAATTGATTTAGAAAGAACTTTTTACTCTATGAAAAAGTACAGTGACACTTTAACTTTATTTCCAGTGCAAGTCTGAGACTGAATATATGTATTTTCAAATACTATTTTTGCAACCTTTGATACAATGGTATCAAATTATATTGGTCGCAAAGTCCATTACTTTAAGCAACATATCTCTTAATACTATGCTCAGGCAAGTTGAGGTCAACCCTATGTTATTATTTGCCTATAATACCAATGTGCCATAAGAAACAAGGATGTAGTTTATTTTTCAGTTATGCATGTATTTATAAAGAGCTGTTTTATAAACTGGATGAGATGTCAGAAAATTGTTTTCCAACACTTACCAAAGGTAGATTCACAGGGTGTGAGCTTTATTGGCAAGATTAACAGTTACTGTATATCTATAATTGCCCTTAACTAGCTATTTTTGCCCTCTTTGAAATCCAGTTAAGAGTCAATTTAATTGATTTGGGAATAGAGTCACATAGAGGTCAAACTAGGTAAAGGCAACAGCTTTTCTTCCCTGAAGAACATAAGGGAACTAGATGAGTTTTATGACTATTTGGTAGTTTCATGATCACTGCTACAGACAGTTATCAGGCTGGTATTCCAGTGGCCAAGCTTAGTGCTCTGGCATTAAGAGTTCTAATTTCACAATGGCAGCTGGAATGGATTACATGACTCAATAAGCAATCATGGAATGGACAGATAGTTGTGGAAACCCACCTGATTCATATGTGGCTTTCAATGGAGGAAATCTGTTGCCCTTTTCTGGTCTAGCCTATGTGACTGCAGTCGCACAGCAATGCGGCTATCTGTTAATTGCTCTCTGAAGTGGCCAAGCAATTAAAAATAATTTCGTTACTGAATTGAATTTCAATTCCACATCAGTAAAGATGGGTTTTGAGTTCATCTCTCTAGTTCATTTATACAAGCCTCTGGATTACTTGTCTGGTAACATAATCTCTATGGCATGAATTTATACTCTGAGGTCAGGAAAGAAGTACAATGACTATTCCAAGCTCCACAAACCAAAATTTAAAAAGTGCCTGAGAAGGTGGGTTTTATATCAGGATTATCGGGGTGGGGGTTGTGGGAGATGGGGTGAATGGGGAGGTCACTGTCTGATGCCTGGCTTTTATTTCAAAAATCCATTTAATGCATTAATACCTTCTTAGGACCAAACGCAGAAGGTTGCTTTGGCTCTCCAAAGGACTCCAATGATTTTAGTCCTTCTCTCATCTTACATAAAATGCACAAGTCATGCTTAGACGTCCCATCAGTGAAAATCAGAGCAACCTAGGACAATCGCACTCATAAAATGTGCAGCAGCTTCAAGGAAAACTAATGTTCAAGTTATAACCTTCCCACATCCTTCCAACATTCCCCCCCGCTCCCAACACCTCCCCTCCCTGACCCAGTTTCCGGGTCTGGAGCTTCAAAACGTGCTATTTTTACAACATTGAAGACACCCTCCACCTTTACAAGAATTCCTGCCTATCTATTCTTCATTTCTGTCCAATACATTAACACCAATGATGATTGAAAAGTACCTGTTTAACATGGTGTCCATGTCATTAATGAATTATAAAACCACTTCCATAGTTGCAGATAACTTCCAAAGGGGAAATTAATTCAAACATTGGGCAAAAGAAAAATCAATACATGACCACTGGCCAAGCATAAAAAGTTGGAAACCTGTCTGAAATGTAAATGGATTTGTTACTGATGGTTCATAATTCACAATGGCCTTCTCAACTTGCAGGTGGTCGATGGAACGCCTTGTACGCCCGACACTTCAGCAGTATGTGTCCAAGGAAAGTGTATAAAAGCTGGGTGTGATGGAAGGCTTGGCTCCAAGAAGAAGTTTGACAAATGCGGAGTATGTGGAGGTGATCACAAAAGCTGCAAGAAAGTTTCTGGTCTTTTCACCAAACCCATGTATGTTTTTCTCTCTTCACTACATTTTAACTTAACTGTGATTTTTTTTCATTAAAATTTCATTACCATCAATTGGGATTTCATGGGTGCATAGAATATTAGATTTAAGAAAATCAATAATGATCTCCATAATCCTGATACACAAAGCATTATCCCATCCTAATTTTCATAGTGACAGGATGCCCATTAATCCATTGGAAAATCTCCAGAAAGTTAAGTGTGGTTGAATATAAAGTAGAACAAGAAAACGTACATTCATGGCATAATTTTAAGCTATTGTATGTGGAGAGACAAACTCTGGCTTGAAACACATGCTGCTGTGATGTAAAATATTACAGCACCTATGTGTAGTTCCACCTGAGTGGACGCTAAGTGCCCAATTAGGACAAAGGAAAGGACAGAAGGCATTACCCCTAAGCAATCAATACACAATTTAGCAGCCACGTCAGCACAAAATTTAATGCCCTTTGATCATCTTGTCTATTTAATCTAGCAACAAGAATTAAGTGTCACAAGAAGTGAAGGTTATTGGAAAGGAAATAAAGTTTTAGAATTTCGCATTTTGAATCAAAACAATGTGCATAATTTTTGAAAAAAAAACTCCGTTTGCTGAGATACGGGATGATGTAACTTTTTCAAGATCTTTTATAGTGAGACTAACTGTAAAGGTGGATATTCATTAATTTCCAACTGATTGTATCTTGCTGGGGATGAAGATAGGGAGCCGCAACAGTTTAGTCTCGAGAGGCTGTAGTATCACTGACAAAAACTCCTAGATTTCCACATTTAATTGCATGTGTTCACATTGAAAGGTTGTTCATAGTTTCGTAGGAGTAATGAAGTTGAACTCTAACAATTTTGTCATCATTGTTATCACAAACTCGGGCCATTAGATAAAGTACATTTTGAGGGAAATTAGACTTAATGGTTTTGATTCTCTTTCTGTTGCTAGTGGTTCTAGTTCCTCTCCCTGTAGTTGTAAGCTCATTTGCTTCTTTTGGAGTGCTGAATATTAAAGGGCACCCTGCTGGTAATGGGTCGACTGAATAATACCTCAGAAATAGATATAGCTTCCTTCCCCTTTTTCCATTTACCATCTATTGAAAATTCTCATGCACAGCAATATATTTAACTCTATGGCTTTTTGCTATTGTTCAATAGTCATACTGTTTAATAATGGCAATAGGAATTTAATAATTTCTGTTTGCTTAAAGACTTCACATTAAAATATTGACAGGTCACTTCCACAGATGGAAGTGGACACTTCTTAGGAGTAGAGAAAAGTTAAAGAATATTTTTGAAAGAGCGAAGAGTCATATAAAGTGTAAGATATTTAGAAAATGTCTGTGTAGATTACCAAGGGAGGAAGCGGGATTAAGTAGAGAGGAAGAGTGCTTCCTAAATATTTTAACACTTAACTTATTTAGTATAAACTAAAAGCTGTTTCCTTTCTGCAGACATGGGTATAATTATATTGTGACAATACCAGTTGGAGCCACCAGCATTGATGTCAAGCAAAGAGGATATAGAGGCATGACAAATGATGACAACTATTTGGCAGTTAAAAACGAGCATGGCAAATATATACTGAATGGTCATTACATCGTTTCTGCAGTGGAGCGAGACATTGTAATAAAGGGAAGCTTGTTGAGGTATAGTGGAACAGCAACATCTGTTGAAAGCCTTCAAGCTTTTAGACCCATCCAGGAACCATTGGTCATTGAAGTCCTATCAGTTGGAAAAATGACTCCTCCTCGTGTTCGCTATTCCTTCTATCTACCAAAGGACAATAAAGAAGATAAATCTTCACATAATTCCAACAAAAAAGATACAAAAGGAATCTTGCTGAATAATGACAGTTTGAGCAAATTAAATAAAATTGATACACGGCAACCAGATTATAAACAAATAAGTTATAAATGGGTGGTGAGAACATGGTCTCAGTGTTCCGTTTCATGTGGAAATGGACTGCAGCATAGATCTGTTGGTTGTGAAGACAATCATGGTAAAATAGCATTTGATTGTGATACCACCCAGAAACCAGAAGTTATACGGCAGTGTGGAGATCCTTGCCCAGTGTGGGAGATTGGCGGATGGTCACCATGCTCAAAGAGTTGTGGCAAAGGCTTCAAGAGGCGTGTCATCAAATGTAAAGCTGAAACTGGGCACATTTTGCCCAGAGAACACTGCAGTATAAGGAAGAAGCCACAAGAACTAGATTTTTGTATGATGAGACCCTGCTGAGAGTCATTAGTGGGCATTATTTCAGATAGAGTAGCCTTTAGAAATGGCCAGTGGTCATTGGTTTCCAGCAACCTTTAGTAACAGTTATGACTGTTACACCTGAATCCAAATGGAATATTGAGAAAAAGAACTACTATACATTGGGGAAAATGGAGACCTGTGCTGCATAATTGTGAATGAAATTACCTGAAAGTTACTTGTTGAAGTCTACCTCTGAAATTTGTAAGTTGGTATTAAACTTTTTTGGTGGCTTCATTGACCAGGTTCTAATATAAGAAGTGATGACTGCCTATTGAGTACTTAAACAATGCAGTTTGTCACTAATTTGAAGCAGTCAAAGATTTTAATGGCTTGATGATCTTTTATTTACCATTGAGCACAAAATACTACAGGGACCAATGTAGGTACAGCTGCAATATAATGCAGGGATATATGGCCTAATGTGATATACTGATGATTCGATGAGAAAAGAGGGTGACCATCCTTCACTTCAGAGATGTGGAAGTTAGTTTATTTGTAAACGGGCAATCTTATGTGCTACTTTATGAAATATATTAGATAGATAATCTGTTCTTTGTGAAACGTATTAGAATATTTTACCCAGTAATACTATTGTATGACTTGTGGAGTGACGTTTACTCAAGTTTACCTGGTGTCATCAGTTATAAAGTGTTGCATTCCAACAAAACTATATTTATGAAAGAAAAAAATAGAACATTAGGCTTGTGGTACAGTTCTGTATAAATGTAGACACATTTGGATGTTCCCAAAACATGAGCATTACAGTATTGGTAGCTGAGCCTGTTTGTAAAATGATCTTTTCCAAATATCTCTTAGTAAACGACCTTGTTTTATATGTAATAATTTATTCTGAGAGGGACAATATTCCATGGTGCATAAATCATTTTCTGTATGCTGGCAACATTATTTATTATGTGTACTGGGTTCCAAAAGCATCAGTGCAAGACCAAACAGACAACTTAATTATTATTTTGTGGTAGGATTGTAAGTATGGTGCTATTTGTTTTGTCCACATTTGCACATTTTATAACCTTGCTTGTAACCATTTTTGATAATTTTGAAGAATTTTCAGTTTCTTTTACAAAAAAAAGGAATTGTAAAACTGTTTCATCTTCCCTATCACTATAATAAGAAAATTTGAATTATTAACTATCGTGAATGAATCTCTAAAATGCAAGGCCACTTCATATCAATGGTTTGTTCCATTTCCCGCTTTATATTGTGGTAGTGCTTCTTCTTTAAAAAAAAAACAAACACATCATATATGCCAAACTCTGTAACCCTTTCACTTGCATTTTGGTTGGGAGGGATTGCAGTTACTGTTCTTCCATCTAAAAGATGGTTCATATGTTAGTGGGATTTATTTTACACTTTTGCATTTTTAAATTGCAGAAGGCATAAATACCGTTTATTGGCTGTTATGTATACCATGTATACATTTGTTTAATTGTGCACAAATAAAATTGTAAATATCTATGAATTGACAGTCTTGTTTGTTGTGTGAAAGTATGGCAAAGGTGGTAGTTCAAATGAAGATGCACAGGGGAATAATAGTCATTGTGATATTTGCTGGTAGTTAAAGTGACTGAAACTAGTGTTTTATGGATGTCTTTACAAACTGATAGCAAAGACACTTGTTTCCAATCTCTCTAATGGTAATAAATATCAGCAAAAAACCTTCAAAACATGTAAACCTGCTAATAAATAACACATTGTTCACTGAAAATATTAATAAGAGTGATTGCACAAACTGATTGTGGATTTGGATGACATTTATAAGCAACATAACTTCACTCTCACTTTGAGATTATTGTCTTCTAAATTCTACCGCACTGCCCCCTCCACAACTCACATCAGCTCTGATGAAGAGTCATCTAGACTCAAAAGGTTAGCCTGCTCTCTCTACATGGATGCTGCCTGAGCCGCTGTGAATTCCAGCACTTTTTGTTTTCAGTGCAGACTCCAGCACTTGCAGTAAATACCTCCTACTGATAGATATTTGTTAATCAAAGCTATTAAAGGATATACAGCAAATATGGGTTTATGGAGTTGGATCACAGATCAGCCATTGAAAAGCAGAATAGTGTTGGAAGGTATGTACTTAAAAGGTAAAATAAATGGACCTCATAACAAAATGAAAAGTGAACCAAAAAGAAAGACCTACATGTATGTAGTGCTTTCCATAACCAGCAGATTAAATGATCCTGTACTGCCAATGAAATACTTCTGTTTTTACTGTTATAGGAAAGGTAGCAACTAATTTGTACACACAAGTGTTCACAGATAGCAACATAGTGGTGGCTAGATCATCTGTTTTTCTGACGTGAACAAGTGATAAATATTGGCCAAGCCACTCTGTTAACTTCCTGCTCTTCTTCAAAATAGTGCTACAGGATTGTTTACATTCAACTAAGCAGGCAGATGGGACCTCAGTTTAATATCTTATCAGAAAGGTAGCACCTTTGAGACCCTGCTGCTACCTCAGTGGCCCAGTAGATGGTCAGTTTTTATTTTTGTGCTCAGGCTCTGAGTTTGGATTTGAACTCAAAATCATGTATCTCTAAGGCAAGAGTGCTACCAACTAAGCCATAGCTGACAAAGCAGCAGATTTCTCAAAGTTACTGTAAACTCAGATCTAAGATAATTTTATGCCGGTTTCCAGGACTTGTGAGATTGGATGCAAATATAGTACAAAACCTTTTCTTTGTTACTTCGCTGTTTGACTTAAAACCTAGTAGCTTACTTACTGCATACAGTTTTGTTATGTATATTCAATTATCTCATTTCCTCATATCTCCTTCCCTTTTCCAAAGGTATTGACTTTTACTGGCATATTGTTCCATCCGCTCTAGCAATCTTTTTGTACCTTACCATACTAACCCTTAAATACTTGTTCATCATTGTGCTGACCCAGTCTTTCATGTGATTATGGCCTAGCATTCCCAATCTGTTGAACTAAATGATCAGGTTTCACATAGTTCCTTTAAGCCCAAACCAATTAAAGTGTTAGTATCTTGGAAGAGTTTAAATATGGATAAAAGTGCTGCAGAATTATATTATTGAAAACAGCCAGAAAAATATTTGCATGCCAAATTACTGGTAATTACAAGTGCTCTTGTAACAGCTTATGATAATTTTATATTATAATTTCCAAACAAAATATGCAGCAAACCAAACACACATTTACCATAAACAGATTGTAGATCTTGTTTTAGAATGGGCCAGGGAAAGAGGGGGATAAGATACACAAACAGTTTGGGAGAGATACATTTCCTTGGTCAATATCTTCTCTTACACTTTTGTTAAACCTATGTCTGGAACATCAGTTAAAGCTTTTAAAAGGAATTCAAGGCAGGAATGAAATCTGTTTTAACAAAAGCACTGAAGTACAACTAAAAATAATGGCCTATGGCTTAGTTTTTTGCAATGGTTCCTGCCACCCCATAAATAAACAGTCGTCTAAAAAATCATCTTGTTAGCGAGTGTGTGGTTAAGAATATTTTAACACCCACTAATGGGATCCCATCACAGTTTACACCCAGAAACTCAAGTAGCTATGCAAGTCAGCTTGAAAGCCTGAAAATTGCCCTTCTTTGCATTACATTCGCCAAAGATCAGCAAGATGCAGATCTGATGCAGCCTTTAAGAGATGGTAGTCACTTAAATGGCAAATTACTTACCAGCAGAAAGTCAAAATATCAGCAGTATCAGGGTTGTGAGCAATTGAAGGGACCCACATTTCTTGATGACTCCAAGTGATGCTGTTAGCAGAAGACTTGTCATGAAGCAAGTTCAAGATGTCTGGAGGAAAGTGACAGAGGCAGTCCAAGCATTACCAGCAGCCCTCAAAATGTTGAAAAGGATGGTCAAAGCTCTAGAGTCAACAGATATTGAAGAAGGGTCTAGGCCCGAAATGTCAGTCTTACTTCTCCTCTGATGCTGCTTGACCTGCTGTGTTCATCCAGCTCTACACCTTGTTATCTCTTGTCTGCTACTCAAGCTACTCACTTGGCTGTTTAACCTCAGCAGTGACATGGGAACTCATACTATATAAAGGCAAATTGTTTTCTCCAAATATTAACATACATTTTCCACATAAAAGATTTAAAAAAAAGCAGTGCTTTTAAAAGGAGAGGGCATTTTCACCCCTCATATAACATCAAATATGAAATCACATAAGGAATGTTTCCATAAGGGCTGTATGCCTGCAACATTGCATTCTGTCCCTCCACATGAAAGAGTTATACATAGCCAATATCCTATAGGGGCAACAGGCAGAGCACTAGAATACCCAAAGGAAGAGGAGATCTTACACAGAGTAGGCAGTGGGATAGATCAGCCTGTAGCAGAGGCCCAATTATAAGCACAAATCAAAACTGGACAATACTGGAGAAACTCAGCAGGTCTAGCAGCCCCTGTACAGAGAGAAATAGAATTAACGTTTTGAGTCCGATGATCCTTCACCCGAACTGAAAATAGTTGGTAAAAAGTGGTATTTATGCCGATAATGAGGTGGGGTACAGTGAATAGAGCACATTGAGACGGAGCTGAGAGAGAGAGACAAAGGGATAGGCAAAAAGGATTGCTGATGATAAGCTGAGAGAGAGATAAATGCTGGGAAGGGTGGTAATGAGAAGCATAAATGATTGAAAATCAGTTGGCAGTGCTGGGAGCAATGCATGCAAAACAGGACCTAAGGGTGTTCTGGGAGGGTAACAAACATAGAGGAGAGTTTTCACATTGATGAAATTGTTAACCTCAACATTGAGTGCTGAAGGCTGTAAGGTATCGAGCAGGAAGATGAGGTGTTGTTCCTCCAGCATGCTCCACGCAATTGTAGATACACTGGCAAGAGATGTTGAGGGCAGGGCAAGGCTCATTTTATGTAATTTCAGTGACATTCAGTTAGTATTAGTTAGTTGTTGGGAAAATGTCGCAGTGCACAGAAATAAATAAGCGCTTTCGTTTCTTAGAGCATAGGAAGTGTCTAGGAAGAAAAGTCCAGCTATGCTGATGACTTCCTGGAAACTTCCAAAGTGGATATTATATACGCTACCCTAAACTCTTAGTTGCTCAACCACTAACAGTAAAGGGACCCAATCACTAGGAACTGGTCAACTAGTTGATGGGTTGAGTTACTGAGCTCCAATTAAAATGGGGACTGTGATAGAAGAGACAGATTGTTCTTTTTCTTTATTGTAGGAAATTAAACATCAGCTGCAGGTCTCTAAACAGGCACATTTCAGGAAGTTTAAGCTTCAGCAAAGCAAACAATTTGATAATATTGTTCCCACGTGACAGCTGTGAGGATCGCTTTCATGCATGTGGTTAAGATGATGGGTAAGTAAGAGGGATCCACTATCAACAGCTGTAGCACATCACAGGAAGTTTTGTATGATCTGCAGAACATTTTGACCCAATTACAGGACAGCTAAGGAATGATACTGCCCAGTACCTGATATGAATGAACACACTATATAGGACCGCAGAATTACTACCTTGCAGGATTCTGGCTTTTAGCAGCAGTCCCCAAGAGCAATTATTATGTGGGCTACTTTCCCATTTAAAGGCTAATAAAGACTGAATATTGGCTCAGTTGAATGCTGGATGGCATCCACAACAGCGCCTGAATTTCGATTGTGGGTTTTACTGAATGTACGCTCTAGGTAACTGAGGTTGGTTTATTGCCGTTTTACTAGCTGTAGCTAACAGTTTGCCTCTATAAACCTTCTACACGGAACCTAATTCTACATAAGAAAATATTACTTGTGTACTCGTGTACTTCTATCACAGAAAAGTTGAAACGTTTTAGAAGAAAATCATACATACAAGTAGGATAAAGGAAATTGTATTGCTATGTGTGCCATGGTCAAAAAAGTTCATTTATAAAACTGCTTTACGTAGTTTCCAGCACTTGAATCAAATTTCAAGTTGAAGAATTATTAAAACCACATTTCTGACCTGAACTATTCTATATTTTTCTGTAATTTAAAAGCATTGAAGCACATTTTCAGAATATAGATTTTTCCCTCGTGCAGCCCGGTGTTAACGTGAAATAGGCAAACAACTTACTACAGAAAATATTCTAATGACACAGAGCGTTTGTTCCACAGTGACATATTGAGCAAAATCAGCTCTGCACCTTAACTACAGCATCAAGAAAACAGCACAGTAACTGAACAATTTCCTTTCTTGCTGGATAGAGCTGCTGCCAGGTAATACAGTTGTTCACTGGTGATGATGCTAGCGGTTTAACACTGAAAATGTGGAAAAAGGTAACTGAGAGCCAGCAATACTTTTGCCGTAGCCAACTCCTAATGCTCCTAGAAGCAAGATATGAAGATGGATTTTGTGAGTTCATATCTCTCATTGCAGTACAGAAAGTGTAATGTACAGATCAGAATGGCCAACAGAATTTTCCATTGCCAACAATATATACACTAACTTTA